TTACTTATTTGTGTATTTGTAATTGTTTTGTTTGTTTGTTGTTTTTTTTCCTGCCCCTTATTTTTTCCATGTTTACAAGGAAAAACAATAATACACTTGAACGAAACACCAACTAAAACAGTTTCCTTGTGTTTTCATTCACACCTCAGGCTCCTTAACGAACTGTTTTCTGATATAGCAGTTAGCTGCCTAGCCCATAACTGTTACACTCGCTAGAAGTTTATTATGCAGTAAAATGATTATTCAAAGTGATGAAATCCTAAATTGATGTTTCATTTACCAGTTTAAATAAAAAAAATCCAAAGGCGACTCTAAACAAAAAGGTTTTTAATCTGGGTTTAAAGAAACTCATGTTACAGATTAGCGGAGTGAAAGAGATAAAAGCTGCTTCTCCATGTTTGTTCAGGAATGCAGAGTAGATTTGATCCAGACGCCCCGATACAGCAGCAGCCATTTAAAATTTCCCCACTTTCCTTGATGGTCCCTGGTTGGTTCCCTAAGATTCCTTTTCAAACATCAATCTTTGTACTAAAATATTCTTTCTGTCATGATTTGAGGACATTAATATCTGGAGAGAAGCGCCATCTGCTGGTCAGACCCTGTAATTCAGTCAAAGGGTGGAGTCAGAGTAAAGAAATGTGCCAGAGGGGGGTCACTTCAGTGGCTGGAAGTTGGAGGGGATTTTGCTGCCATTCGGCTGCCGTTTGACTGTGAACGGCCATTTTGAATGGCTGCTCCTGCAGGTCTGAGCCACTGATCTACTGACAGAAAGTCTGCCATTGCTTTTGGTTCTAACAGAAATGTTTTAAAATCTCTGCTCTGAGATTTGGGCAGGCAGTGGAAGGACTTTAGGACTAGGGGTGGGTATTGGCAAAGAAGTTTCACATGCCACGATGCGATTCTATCACGATGCATCGCGATACTTGAAATATTGCGATGCATTGCGATATTTTCACTGAACAGTGTAAGAAAAAGGATCCAGCCATTACCAGTGGCTGACTGGCTGGGTGTGATCTGGATAGTGTCTTCAATTGATACGTAACTGAAAGCAACTGAATTCATTCATAGCTGTATTTATTGAAAAGACTTTTGGAGGCGTTGCCATGGAAACAAATACTGGACAGAAATATTACTATTACTGGCATGGACACACTGACAAAAAGATCTTAGGATTCATCAAACTTAAAATAAGAAAATAAGGATAATCAGAGCCGTTTACATGGCCTCAGTGGTCCTTTAAACCAATGAAACGAAAACATTCAAATGTATATTTC